GAAGCACCTCTGCTGTCCCCCACAGTCACCAGGTCCTCTAAGGTGCAGAACACATCACCTCCCTGTTTTAAACCCCCCAAGCTTCCTGGCGCCCCGGGAAAGTCCCAGGCCTTTGATGCCCACCTGCCTGCCTGGCCTCCTCTGACCCCACCTCTCCAGCACCCCTCTCCTGCCTCCCTGCTGGGAGCGCTCCCTGACTCACTGGCTCTAGGTCACCTCCCAGCTCCTCTGGTCCCCTCCCTGTTTATGGCCTTGGATGCTCAGGACACCTCCACGTGCCGAAGCCGTGACTCCCAACGCGACTGTGTTTGCAGACAGGGGCTTTAAGGAGATCAAGGTCAGATGAGGTCAGAGGGTCATCAAGTCACCGCTGTGTCCTTATAAGAAGAGACACCAGAGACTATTCACCAGGCACCCAGAGGACAGGCCGCTGTGACTGACAGCCAGGAGGTGGGCAGTCACAGCCAGCAAGAGAGCCCTCCCTGCCGGACTCCGCCGGGACCTCAGTCCCCGGCTCTCGCCTCCAGATCTGCAGGAAACAAGATCCTGTCTCTCAGGCCTCCAGGCTGCGGTCCCTGTGGTGCAGGCCACTGTCCTCTCCCTGGCCCAGGTCTGACCGTTGGCTCAGGACTGCTCAACCTGCCCCTGGCCTGTCACCTGGGACGGGCCGTGCTCACGACTGCTCGCTGAGTGAATGATGACGGTCCCCCCCCAGCCACCTGCCCCGCCCCAGGTGTCACCGTGCAAACCAGCAATGGTGTGTGGCACCTGCCTGGAAATCCATGGGGATACTTTGGGGACACTAGTGGCATCCAGTGGGCAGGTGACAAGGGCCATGATGTACTGCCACTCGGGTTAGTCCAGCAAACTGAAGCTGGTCTCAGGTCCCATCTGACTTTCGAGTGTCCCACGAGACCCTCACGCCAGTGAAGACCTGGTCAGCATCCTAGGACGCGGGGTGGGGGGGGTGTCCAGGCCACCGCTCACTCTTCTAGTGACAGCCCTGCCCTTCATTTGTGGACCCACCACGCCTGCCCTCAGTGACAAGGACAGGGTTACAAGTGCTTGGGACAGAACCTCAAGGCCATCAAAGTCTGAGGCGCTTTCTATCTGGTTCCTTACAGTGAAGCTCGCGACCTCGTCCCAGCACGTCAGCGCCTCGGGCACCTTGTTAACACGCGGGACGTTTTTCCTGGGCTTTGACCCACGTGGTTGGTGTAAGAAGTGATGGTGTCGCATTCGACGGGAGCTGACGGGCTCCATCACTCTTAACTGAAGGTTGACCAATATGCCATTGTGCTCCGAGAGAGACCGAGAGGGTGAGTGACTCATGAAAGTGTGATCTTGCTCCGTGAGTGAGCAGGGAGCTTGTGACATCTGGGCACGTCTAAAGATGTGCTGGGTCCTGAGGACAGGAAAGTCAGGGACCTTGTAGGGAAGCCACAGGGGACGGGATGAAGGGAGGAAGAAGCAGAAGAGTGTGAATTACAGACGGAGAGGGTGGAGAGCTGACCTTGACCTCACGGCCAGGCCACTGCGGCTGACTCTCCAAATTGGCCAATGCCCGTGGAGAGGCATGTGGCCAGTGGTCACACTGCTGGTGACGTCTGTGTCGCCCAGATTTTCTCCTGAGAGTCTGCATGGCAGTGGGCGGCCGTCCCGTCCGGGGGCTCTTCACCCCACGGCCACCGAGCAGAGCCAGTGGGTTGCCTCAGACCCTGGGGTCTGCTGGGCCCCGCTCTTCTCCAGTCCTGGGCCCACTGACCACACCATCGCTGGGCAGCTGGGGTGGCTGGGGACAGCACACATAACCAGTGGTCCTCGGTCTTCCTGGACCCAAGCCAAGGGACGGCACCGTCACCTGCCTCCTCTTCTCTCAACTTCTTTGAAGTTGGTTTATCAGCCCTGTTACTCAGCATGTTGACTCACCCGGGCTGCTCTCCCCCATGACCTGGGCTATCGAGATGTCCCCCACCATGCTGGGAAGGATGGTTGTACGTCCGTATCTCCTTCTGATTTTACGAAGAGTTGTCTACCGCGATGGAAAGTCATGTCACCGTCACCACACTGCTGGTGACATCTGTGCTGCCCGTGATACCAAGCTGTGAGTCACGCTCCTGTGAATCTTCACGTGGTGTCTCTCAGCCTTCGTTATGTTGCCCACAAGGGCCAAGCTGGGCGTGGTGACGCACACCTGCAGTCCTAGAGGCTCGGAGGCTGAGGCAGGAGGATCTAAGTTCAAAACCAGCTCCAGCAATTTAGTGAGGCCCTGAGCAACTCCGTGAGACCCTGTCTCTAAATAAAAAATAAAAAGGGCTGGGATGTGGCTCAGCGGTAGCCCCAGGTCATGGGGGAGAGAAGCCCCCTGGGTTCAATCCCTGGTACCCATCCCCCCCAAAAAAAGTATTTTCTAAATTATCTTATATGAAAATTTCATAGCGAGAGCACCTTGCTTGACTTTTAAAAAACATGTACAAGTCTGACCCTGACTCCTTCACGAAGGCCCATCTCCAAATACCATCACCTCAGGGGCTGGAGCTTTAACCTGCGCGTTCTTGGGGACCAATTTCGGTCCTTAACATTGACTGGTTACCCTCCTCACCCACCCCTGCATGAACCAGGTTAAGTTGACATAAAAAACTCCCTTAGCTGGGCTGCCCAGTCCCTCAGCCACATGTCCATCACCTCAACACCACCGTCCTCGGCCTCCCTAGCCACATTTCCAGGGCTCAGTGCCCCCCGTGGCTGGCAGCGGCTACAGGGCACTGTGTGGACCCAGGAGGCTCCACAGCCACGGGAGGTCCACCAGACGGCGCTGTCCTGGCCATCTGCCAGCTAGACCCCCCCGTGACCCCAGGCTCAGTCCGTATCCGGCTGTTTTCACCGTGGCGTTCACAGTGGCGTTTGGAGAGAGGTGACCAGACTCGTCATCCAGCCAGAGGAAAAGGTCACCTGGTGACCTCCCCGTGTCCTAGCTGCGGAGGACTCCGCTCCAGAGGGCAGCGAGCCTGCCGGCCCGCGAAACTGACCCCGAGGGGAGAGGCCACAGGGACACGGGCTGGGGACCCTACCCACCCTGATTCACACCCGGAACCTGGCCTGTGTCCAGCAGCCTGGGGACGCCAAGCCTGGCTCCCGTCCCGATGGACGCAGTGAGATCAGGCCGACTTGGCCTGCTCAGAACTGGCCGGGCCAGGAGAAATGGGGACATGGCCCTCTTCACCAGGAGGAGGCCCTGGGCCCAGACGCTGCCACCCAGGCTCCCCGGGTCACACCTCCCTGTGAAATAAGCCAGGAGCTGGCATCCGAAGGGCCCGCAGTGGCTCCTGGGTCACCTCCAGGCTGGGACTGGCTCCCTCCATTCCTGGCACAAGGCCCTGTGGTTTGGTTAAGAAAATACGGAGCCAGACTGCAGGACGGAGGGACAGACGCCACACACCTGCTTGTGGGCTCCCCTGGGGACCGGAGGACAGGGTGGAGACCTGCGGCCAGTACAGGGAGATGACAAGGAGATTCCACACTCAGGTACTGTTTTAGGGCACTTCTGGAAAACGGATCTGCCGGCTGGGACCCCTGTTGTCCGGCAGCAACGGGCCCAAGCCGAGCAACACCCTGCACCCCAGCTTTGGTGGGGCACAATTTCCAGCTTGCTACGTCCCCACTACCCTCGCAGGACGCCTGGCTCACGTCCCTCCTGCACCCCACCAGAGCCCTGCGCTATCCCACTGTGATCCCCTCACTTAGAAGAACCTCGGCCCAGAGCAGGGTCAACCCGTAGAACCGCTGTAGTCACTTTAAAAAGAACAGCATTTTTTTTTTTCTTGGTACCAGAGATTGAGCCCAGGGCCCTTAACCACTGAGCGACATCCCTGCCCATTTTATATTTTATTTTGGGACAGGGTCTCGCTAAGTTGCTGATGGCCTCACTAAATTGCTGAGGCTGGCTTTGGACTTGCAATCCTCCTGCCTCAGCCTCCCAAGCTGCTGGGATTCCAGGTGTGCGCCACCGTGCTTGGCTAACATCTGTTTTGATTTTGAAATGTACATATTTCCTCCCAGTCTGTCGTCTGTTTTCTGTTTGGTTTGCTTGTTTTTGTGGTTTGGACCTTGCCTTCATTTCTGACGATCTTGGCCACGCCCCTCCCGTAAGTGAACTTGTCCGTTTTTCCTGCCTTCCCTCCATACTGGGGTTGAACTCAGGTGTGCTTCATCACTGTGCTATATTTTCAGCCCTCTTAATTTTTAAATTTCGAGACAGTGTCTGGCTGAGTTGCAGAGGCTGGCCTTGAACTTGTGATCCTCCTGCCTCAGCCTCCCGAGCAGCTGGGATTACAGGCATGCTCCTCTGCGCCCAATTTGTTCCTCTTTTCTCATTTATGGATTTTCGATTTCTGAGTCATGGTTAGAAAACACTTTTCCACTCCGAGGTTATAAAATCGTGCTTATTCTCGTTTTAGTACTTTTACGGTTTTCTTTTGGACATTTAAACTGTTGGTCCGTTTGGATTTTTTTCGGTGCATGGTAATGGGGCGTGACTTTTTTCGGCCGAGCAGTAGTCCATGAACACCAGTTGCCGAATGGTCCGTCTTTCCCCAGTGACTTGAGATGCCATTTCCCCATGTACTAACCCCTCCCGTCCCGGGTCCCTTTCTGGATGGCATGTTCTCGCCCATTGGTCAATCTGTCTGTCCTTCCTGGGATCACGCCACATCGATGGCTGAGGCTGCCTGACACCCTTCCCCGTCGGCCTGCCTAGTGCCCGTTGCTCTTCTTGTAAAGATCTCTTCAAGTCTGATCAGTTCACAGAAGGGAAGATGAACGTCAGAGACGCAGTCAGAGGACACCTGCGGCCACTCCACCCTGAGGTTCCGGTTTTCACCAGGTTGGCAACATCGCCTACAGTCAGGTGGCGCTGGGTTGGCTGGCACGTGTGTGAGGAAACAGGCATCTTCAACGCGGTGGTGGGAGCTGGCATTGGTGCAGTCCCCAGGGAGGGTGACCTGAAAAGCTACTGAGTTTAAACATGGACTTGCCCCTCCACCCTGAGTCCCACCTCCTGAATTGGGACTGCCCTTCAGCTATACTTGTATAAGTCAATCAATAAATGGATAAATAACATATAAATGGGGTTTTCATAGCCACATCGATCATTGATTATAAAAGTGCCAAAGCCTGGAACTGAGCCACACAGGCTCTGATAAGGAACCGTTAAATCGTTCATGGCGCATCATCCAACGGAATAATAGGCACCCAGGAAAAAGGATGAGGATGTTCTTTGTACGTAGCGACTTAGAACGTTCTCCAAGGCCTAGAGCTAAATACAGAAAGCAAGTGCAGAAGGGCGTGTAGCAAGTTTTCTTTGGGAACAAGAGCACATACAGATGTTCCTGCCATCTTCTAGAAAGTATCATGTCTTCCCTACAGAGCTTATGAAGAAAGGGAGGGCCAGGCGGGATGCTCAGTGCCATTTTGCAATCAGAGTAGCAGCAAAAGGAGTCACCGTCCTCGGGAGACATCCCAGAGAGTGCACAAGAAAACCAATGACACAGAGGGGCCACAGGGAATAGAGGACCTTGCTTTAAAAGGAGGTGAGAGTCCTTAGTGGGGGGCGTGAAGACCCTGGAGCGTTGGGTCATGAAAACAAGGACAAAATGCACCAAGAGGGGCCATCTCTGCAGAGTCAGAGCCGTGGCAGGGCAGGCGGAGACCGGCTCCCAGAGGCGGAGGCGCTGACCTGCCTGTGGGAGGGGCTCTGCCCGGAGCTGCCGATCATCACACGGGCTGGGAAGACCAAAGGACCCAACGCCAGGGGACGGCAGAAGGGACACCGCTAAAGAGATCAGGGTCGAAGACGAGGGGCGGGGACGAAACCAGCAGAGGGATATGAAGACACAGTGACCCACACATTTCCCGATTTGGTGACGACTACAGACCCACAGGTCTGAGGAGCTCCATGAACCCAGAGCACAAGACTCGCAAAGGAGACCGCACCAGGACACGTGGCCAGGACACGTCGCCGTGTCCACACCTGCCACCGGAGAGCACTGAGCTCTTCAGCAAGGGGTGGCGCTCAGCAGCCGAGCAGCCGCTTCACAGATGTGGGGCCCTGGGTGTGATCCCCAGAGACAGAGAGACGAGAGAGAAGCGCAGACAGACCCGGCCTTGGAAGCCTCGAGCTGAGATGGCTGGCTGCAAGCCTTCCCTGAACTTTGAATCTGTTGTACCCATCCTGAGTCCCCTGTCCCAGGCTGCTCCTGAATGGCTGCTGGGGGTTCTGAGCTTTGGTAAAGACAAGAGGAATCTCCACTTTCTTTCTTTCTTTTTTTTTGGTACCAAAGATTGAACTCAGGGCCACTGGACCCCTGAGCCACATCCCCAGCCCTTTACTGTACTTTATTTAGAGACGGGGTCTCACTGAGTTGCTTAGTGCCTCACTTTTGCTGAGGCCGGCTTTGAACTCGTGATCCTCCTGCCTCAGCCTCCAGAGCTGCTGGGATTACCACTGTTCTGAAGTCCCCCGTGGCCCACAGCTCCCCACTGAGGACTTTGTGTTGACGTAGCTGACCCGTCTCTTGCCACTGAGCACTGCTCTCTCCTCTTACCGGAGCCACTCCCCGAAACGAAGGGCTAGAAGTAGAAGGGAACTGGACAGAACACGGACCATCAGACCCCAAGGCAGGATGACAACCTGAGGGCTCTTAGCTTGTGCCATGTGCATCTGCCTTGCACCCGTGAGGTCAGCACCCCGCGAGGGGAGGAGACGGGGGTCCTGGGATGCGGCTGGGCCCAGTCTGGCAGCAGAGCTTGCTGTGATGGTTGTGGCCCGCCACAGCACAGAAGCCAGGGCAGGAAGTTCAAAGGGGATCTCGTGTCGCAGAGTGATTCCACTGAGCCCCCAACAGCCCACGAGGTCCTCTCCCTTTCTGTGACACCAGTGTCCTCCGCTGGCCACACAGGGTGTGTGTGGGGGACAGGCCACACTGATGCAGCCCAGGTCCAGAGCACTGACCTCCCCGTGGCCCAGCAAGTTCTTACCACATACTCCTGAGATCATTTTTATTTTTTAAATCTTTGTGGCGTTTCTGCCAGGAGCAATGTGCTGTCGGGAGGAGCCGGAACAAGGTCAAACCCACAGGAAATGCGCGTCACTCTAAGGACCCCGGTGGACTTAGGAACCAGGAAAGCATCAGCATTGCGAGGCTGCTGGGGGCTGTGACCTTGGATCCTTTACCTTTACTGTGCCCTGGTGGAGGGCGGGACTGTCCTCCTGGATGCAGACCTCAGCCCACGCCTCACAGGACCACGGCTCTGCGGAACTTTCTGGAAGATTTTGAGAGGAGCTGGAAGAACTCGGGGCGGCATCTGGCCTACCCAGCGCTTGCCCCTCCATCTTGGTGCCCCAGCCCACCCCCTGTGGAATGAGGGGCGGCCCCTACGTGTGTCCTTTCCACACCCGTGAAATCCTGATTCTGTTATCAGGAAAATGGCTCATGCTGTGGGTCACCTGGAGGCCGGCGTTCCCAGGCCCAACTCAGGCCGCGTCCCAGTCCCTCCTCATTCCTGACGCCGCAAAACCACCCCCTCCAACGTCCACCCTCCAGAGTGCTCCGAGTTGATGCAGAATTGATTTCCCCTCAGGGACAAACCCAGGGGATAGTTAAGAGGAAGCACATGGGCATGGTGGGCGTGTGGGCATGTGGGCATGTGGACATGGTGGGCATGGTGGGCATGCGGTCGTGGTGAGCATGTGGACGTGGTGGGCATGGTGGGCGTGTGGGTGTGGTGGGCATGTGGATATGTGGGCGTGGTAGGTGTGGTGGGCATGTGGGCATGTGGACGTGGTGGGCATGTGGGCATGTGGGCATGATGGGCGTGTGGGCATGTGGACGTGGTGGGCATGGTGGGCATGCGGTCGTGGTGAGCATGTGGACGTGGTGGGCATGGTGGGCATGCGGTCGTGGTGAGCATGTGGACGTGGTGGGCATGGTGGGCATGCTGGGCATGGTGGGCATGATGGGTGGGCATACAGTATGGTGAACATAATAGACATGTGGGCATGGTAGGCATGGTGGGCACGCGGATGTGGTGGGCGTGGTGGGCGAGCCTTGGTGTTTGTGTGTGAAGAGACACTTCAGGAGGAGACTGTCAGTCCTGCGAAGGGCCAGGCTGTGTCCAGAGCAGCGATGGCCCTAACATAAGGCTGAGGACAAGAAAATGACCCCATCATCCCTTGACAGTGTGGAAATGTGGCAGGAGACCCTTCCTGATTTGGGGGCTGGTGGGGATTGAGGGGGGGGTCCCAGGCCTGAGAATCACCTTCTAGATGGTTCTCCGAGGTGTGGAGGGGGCTGTGCGTCTGGGCTCTGGGGTGCAGCTGCCCGGCTTCAAACCCCGCTGCCAGCCAAGGACTTCACTTCAGCTACTGACCCCCGTGCCTCGGTCTCCCCACCTGTGAGGTGAGGGGGCGACGGGGCCTCCATCGCAGGGTTGCTGGGGGGCTCAGAGGGAGGCTGAGTTGGGAGGCCTTCTGTTGGGGGTAGAGCGTGCGCAGAGCTTAGGACGGCACCCGGGAAAGGCAGCTGTGGGCGAAGCAGCGCGGGCTCTGGAATTCTGGAAACCACGTCGAGTCCCAGCCCGAACACTTCCTGGCTCTGGGCCTGGGGAAAGTCCCTTGCCCTCTCTGAACCTGTTCCTCATCTGTAAAGCAGGGGTTGCCGGTGTCCAGCTCACGTGGTCAGTGGAAGCCCCAGAGAAGGAGAACCTTATTTTAGGCGTCCTGGTCCACCGGCTCCGGCTTCGGCTCCAGTCTCCCTCCCTCATGCTCCTCATGCACCAGTCTCCCGAGTGGCCCTGTAACCTGGGAGCTGCTCCTGCCTCAGGGCTCTGCCCTTGCCCTTCCCTCTGCGGGACCCAGTCTGCTCCGCCAGGGCTGCCTCGCCCATCCTGCAGGCCCCGCATCCGCTTACTGCTGCTCCACCCCTCCTCTGGTCACGGCCACCACCCTTTGTCCTGTTGGGCTTTATCAAGACCTAGGGTCATCCGTTTCTTTGTCACTGGTTACACCGTCTCCCCGTGAGGGACCTGTCCTGCTGACCGTGTGCCCCAGCACCTGAAGGAGCACAGCGGGTGCTCGGTGAAGACGAGGGGCTGGGGCTGGGCTCAGGGGCAGAGCGCTCGCCTGGCCCGCGTGAGGCGCTGGGTTAGATCTTCAGCACCACAGAGAGAGGAACAGGTGAAATAAAGGCATCTGTCCACCCACAGCCACAAACAGACAAACAACCCCCCCCAAAACCAACCAACTAACCCAAAAGACCAAAACCGAGTGAGAGGGGGAAGGGGCGCCCCTCTACCCCGTCCCTCGACCCCGTCCCTCTGTCCCTCTACCCCGTCCCTGAGCAGGCAGCCGGGGGCCGCCTCGGGTGGAGGTGCCTGGATCCAGCTCTGAAGTCCTGGAAGCCCGAGGCAGTGAGCTCAGGTTCTACTGGGAGAACTGGGAAGAAGCTGGCCAAGGTGGGTCCAAATGCAAGGTCAAGTTCAATGTCCTCACAAACCTTCTCACACAATTGGTGTCACAACTTACCACCGCCCCCGCCCCCCCGCAGCCCCCCTGCTAGAGACGGGTCCCAGCAGCTTTGACCCTCACCAGGACGCAGAGAGTCCACTGGCAGGAGCCAGAGGTGGAAGGAGAGGACGCAGGGCCCATCACGGTCGGGGCAGGGCCCTGGGTGCCAGGGACTCCACCGCCTCCCCAAGGGGTTCGACTCAGTCCCTTTCTCACTGTGTTTGCCATAGAATCTAAACTCCTTGTCCCAGAGTGGGTGACCCAGTCACTTCCTCTATGCCTCCGTTTCCGCCTGAGAGTGTCACCAGGGCTGTGTGGATGACCCACGCAACGTCACCTGGCGCCTAGTGAGAGCTCAGCCGAGGTCAGCTGGCACCGTCCACAGGAGCCCGGGCCACCCGGGCCACCCGGGCCACCTGGGCTTGGGGTGAGAGCTCCTGTGCCTTCCCCCAGCACCTCCCTACGTGGACCCGCTGGTCCCGCCACACCCAGAACTCAAGGCGGCTCCTCCAGCCCCGCGCACTGACCGTGCATCTGGTAGGGGTAGGGGCTCTGTCCAGGGGCCGCGGTGCTGAAACTGGAGCCGTAGCCGAGGAACCCGCTCTGGCTGGGGGAGTGGTTCAGGTTGTCCTCCGTCTTGATGCCTTGGGAGGGGAAAGAGGCACCGAGGACACAGGGTTAGAAGCTTCCCAGGGCCTCGGAGACCCCCGGGGCCAGTGCCCACAGCGCCGCGCCCTCAGCCTCCAGCCAGCAGCCGCTGGAGGGCGGACACCGACTGCCCACACGCTCTGCCCCCCACCGGCCCCAGATGGTCAAGATCTAAACGAGGTACTTTTTCTTTTTTGGAGAAATCATGACATTTCACCCCAAAGTATGATATCGATGGCTTCTCTGAGAACAGGATGGTCCTGCAGAACGGGACCGTGCTACCGTGTGACGACAGACAGGCTGTCCTGGCAGTTTCCCATGTCATTCATGGGTCCAGGGCTGTCTCCGCGACATCGAGCCTGGTGCTAGGAGGCTCCTTACTTCTTACAGTCTAGGACACCATGACAAGCGGGGACGGGGAAGGCAGGCCAAGAGGGCCTCACGCTTTGTCCACGCTACCTGCCTGGCTTTCGGGGTGCGGGAGCCCCTGAACCCACTGCAGAGTGCCATGTGTCCACTGCAGTGCTTAAGTGTCCATCAGGTCCTGAGTGAAGGATGTCACTTCATGGTAAGATGCACCCTCTGCCCCGCTTAACCCAACACTGGACAGCCACAGCATAAATCTGCCTTCTGATCCAGCAAACCCGACTGATGACCCGAAGCGAGGGGCCAGCCAGGAGCAACTGGCTGGGGGAAGGACGGCGTTGAGGGTGACAGGCTGACCCCTCCCGGTGGCCCACTCACTTTCTTTTTACTAAAATGTAATGAACACACTCTAGAAAATTCAAACAGTCAGAGGCATAAAGAAAAGCGTCTTCTCCTCCCCTGACCCCGGACCCAGCTCTCCTTCCCACAGGTGCCACCGGGCTGTGGTTCCTGGGTTCACCTCAGACAGGTGTGTGAGGTTACAGGTGGGTACTCACTTTTTAATGAAATCAACGGAAGGCTGGGCGCAGTGGCACAGGCCTGTGATGCCTACAGCTCAGGAGGCTGAGGCAGGAGGATCATGACTTCAAAGCCAGCCTCAGCAACTGAGTGAGGCCCTAAGCAACTCAGCGAGACCCTGTCTCTAAATACAATGTTAAAAAGGGCTGGGGATGTGGCTCAGTGGTGAAGCATGCTGGGTTCTATCCCTGGGATCAAAAAATCAATCCATCAATCAACTGAAGGAATCTATAATACTCTTCTGCAATTTTCTCTTTCATTGCATCAGATTATGAAGCTCCTCCTTCTTCCACATTTGCAGCTGTGCCGTATTTCACGGATGTAAGTATCACACACACACATATTTGCTGCAGTGTGGTTCACAGTTATCACACTTTGGTGCGCGTGGACAAGTATGCCTTGGGTAAATTCCCAGGAGTCCAAGGGCAGAAGACATTTTTGAGGGCATTGCTAAGTAAATAGGGTCACAAGCAGTGAGCGCTGGCTTCCCCACACCCTCTTCAAGTCGTTGTGAAACCTGCTCCTCCTTGTCTGACTGCTGAGTATAAAGCAGGGTCTTGTTGCTGTTTAAATTTTCCTTTCTTTAAAGAAGGTTTCTAGTTCTGGGGGTGGTTTTGTAGTTGAGGGTTCCCTTTTCCACGGTCACCCTGGGAATCGGGAGCTGGACTCAGTCAGCCCAGGAGTCAGGAGATGCGGCTGGGGGCCTGAGGCTCGGATCGACTCCTGGTGACCTGGACAGCTTGTCCCGCGACCTCGGCCTGGAAGCCTGCTTCCACAAGAAATGCAGGTTGTCAGGAAAGTTAAGGGAGGAAAGGGCGGAAGCTTGGAACCCTGACGAGGCACCCAGAGCACACCCTTCATGCTCACGGCAAAGGCACTCAACAGGTGGTTCTCTCTCCCCGTGTTAAAGATGCGGAAGCCAGTCCAGGTGACGGGGTCCTGCAAATGGCAGCTGACTGCGAGGTCAGGAGTCAACAGTGGTGGGAAGGGGTGCTCTGGTGAGGACATGAGGTGTCCCCCAGAAGCTCCCGTGTCAATGCAGGCATGTCTAGAGGTGAGGTGAGATCAGGGACCTCATCCGTCCACCCTGGTTGGAATGGACTGGGTGGTGACTGCAGGCAGGGGGTGTGGCTGGAGGAGGCGGGTCATGGCCGTGTCCTAGAAGGGTCCCCCTTCCCTGCGGCCCTGGCGCTGTCTCTCCTGCTCCCCAGCGGCCATGACTGGACCAGGCTCCTCCTCCAGGCCCTTCCGCCATGATGCTCTGCCTCCCTGGGGCCCAGAGCAAAGGAGTTGGCCTCCGTGGACGGAGCCTCTGAAACTCTGAGCCCAGACTAACTTTTCGTCCTCTAAGTGGTTCCTGTTGGGTTCTTGCTGGTCACAGTGATGCCAAGCTGACCAACACGAGGGGCTTCGTGTGGCACACAATGTGACTCTTCAGTAACAGTGATCACAGAGTAGGGGAGAACTTGACCTGCACCTTCTTTTGCTCGGGGTGCCGGGCACGGTCAGCCAGGGGCTAGGGACAGTCTGTCTCCCTGGGCACCTGGAGTCACCCTAAACTGTGTGGTGCCACCCCAGGTCCTGCATGGGCCCTGCCCCGGCCTCCCTCGCACCCTCTGCTCAAGCCACGGCTCAGCCGGATCCTTCATTTTAGAGGCTGGCGTCCACGTCCCCGTGTTCAGCCAGTGCCTGGAGGGGGGGTGGCTTCTGGGTCAACGCCACGTTCTACCCTCACGGCCCAGGATGGAGGGACGCGGCTCCTCCTGCAGCACTAGAGCGTCTGTCTTGCCAGGACCTGGGCAAGGCCACTGGGGTGTCCTGGGAGTGTGGGCCTCCTTCATCGTAAACAGACGCGAACTGCAAGAACATCTCTGGACTCAGGGTCTTTGCAGTGGGTCCCCTCCGCCTGGAACGCACGCCCTGCTCCTGGTTACGCCTCTGTCTGCTAACGGCTCTCATCCTCCATCGCTCAGCTTGAAGGCTGCCGCCCAGGACTCGCTGGGCCTCCACAGCAGGGAGTCCGCCCTCAGGTCCCTCATCACGGGCTCCTTTATCACCTGTCCCCTCCTGAGGCTGAGAGCCCAGGAGGGCAGGGGCTGGGCCAGCCTTGTCCACTGCGGTATCCCCACAGGTGGCTCACTGTCTGGCAGGTAGCGGGTGCTCAGTAAATATCAGAAGAAGGAATGAACAGGAAAGAAAAATAAGGATTTTCACTCTTTTGTTTGCTGAAGGGCTGGACCCTAAAATTCTGACCCTGAGGACGGGAGGAGGTGGCCGGGGACGTGAAAGGTCAGTGTTGCCCGGTTGCAGTCTGGGCACTGCCACAGCTCACAGTGGGAAAGGGCAGGTAGTGGGGAGGACGTGGTCACCCTCCCAACCTGGTGCTGCCGTGGCTCTGAGGCCATGTCCGGACTCGTACTTCGTCACCTTTTTAAACTTTCAGTGTCATTCATTTCTTTTTATTTTATCAGGTGTCCGTCCGGGATGGACTGAAAATTTTAAAGCAAAAAATCAAAACCTGGTCTTTCCCGTCTACGGGAAGGTGCTGCGCCGCTGGCGGACATGTTCATGGCGAGGGCAGTGGGGACCCGCAACGTGCCCGGAACCCTCCATCCAGGAGCCTCAGGCTGCAGCTCAGGGAGGCACGGGGGGGGGGGGGGGAGCATTTCAGAGAGGGTGTCAACAGCTGGGCACTCATTCAACATGCATGTCACCCCGATGTCCCCAGCAGCTGCAGCAGGCCCGGGACACAGGCTTCAGGTGCTGGAGACAGCAGTGTTTGGAGCTTGGGTTCCAGGAGACGGCGGCAGAGAGACCAGCAGACCGTGGTCAGCACAACCACCCCTGGTGCACGAGGCGGCGCACGAGGGGGCGCACCAGGGGCCGCCTGGCTTGTCCCCCAGGCCCCAGCCTGCTCTCCCGGCTCCCTGATCACCCTCACACCCACTGAACCCTCCAGACACGTGGATTCCTGGGTCTCCGTGTGTAGTCCTAATGGTGCGATACAGAAAAACAAAGCAGAGAAGGACTAGTAAGGTTCCGTGAAAGCGAGTCCGGAGTTGGCATTTTGAACAGGGTGATCTGAGAAGGTCCCGTGAGGGAGGTGATATTTGAACAAAAACCCAAAGGACGTGAAGAGAGCAAGATATGCCAATGTCCAGAGGAACAAGAGGTGCAAAGGCCCTGAGGTAGGTCATACTTAGTATGTTGGATGGGCAAACATGGAGGAGGCCAGTGTTGGAGAGCACAGTGAGCTAGAGGTCAGAAAGGCCGTGGAGTGGGGACAGGGCAGGCAGACGCAATGGGAAACCTCTGGCTTTGACCTGGAGTGACAAGAGTCCTGGGGGGCTCTGAGCACAGAGGATGGCAGAACTGGTTTGTGCCTAAAACTTCTGCGTCTCAGATCTTATCTATTGTGCATGTAACACAAAATTCTCTCCCAGTTGATTGGTGTGCACACTGCCCGAGGCCCTCCCCTGCACCCAGTCACCCTGCACAGGCAGCCTTCACAACTGGCCTCGCAGACCCGCCCTCGCTCTCCTGCTGGCCTTGACTGGGCACTTGTGGGCTCTGGGTACTCCACGGGGAGCAAAGGGAAGAAGGAGGAAGCCTGACTCCCCCAGAGCTACCGCCCCTTGCTCTCCCTCGTGGGCAGCCCCGGCAGCGCTAAAAGATTCTGGGACAGGCTGGGAAAGCCGCGCACGCGCAGAGGACAGGCTCTCCCGCCTCCTGGGTTTCCACTCTGTCACTGGATGCCAACAGAGATCCCAGTGGCTTGGGAGGCTGAGGCAGGAGGATCACAAGTTCAAGGCCAGCCTCAACAACTTAGTGAGACCCTGTCTGTAAGTAAAATATAAAAGCTCTGGAAACATGGCTCAGTGGTTGAGCGCCCCTGGATTCAATCCCTGGTACAAAAAAAAAAAAGAAAGAAAGAAAAAAGAAAAGACGAGAAAAAAGAAAAAGAAAGAAAGAAAGAAATGCAAGGAAACTGTAAACCTGCAGGGGTCTCTGGGAAGACAGGAGCCCACCCCCATTAACTTTTCAAGTTGGACGGTCAGTTCTCGGGTGTTTGTGGTATTGCTCTTTATGTTTTCCTCCATGTCTTAAATATTGCATAATCAATGGAGAAAAAATACTGGGTGTTCCCAACACCCCTGTCTCTACTTGCTCCCTTCAGTCGCCCCGGCTCCCGGGGCTGTTTAAGCCAGAGTGAGCAGCGCCATGTGCCCGGGGCAGAGCCTCTCGACAAGATTCAGCAGGGTCTGGGCGGACGGTGACACACGCCGCGTGCTCAGGCACGGCCAGGCAAAGGAAGCGGTTCTCCTCCACCTGCTGCTCCTCAGTGACTCGGACATTCTGGGGCTGTGTGGCCGCCTGGCTTCTATTGACACAGCTGTGACATTCACTGGGCACCCCTGGGGACAGGGCCCTGAGAGCCAAGCCCTTTATATCAATCAGGGCCCATGGGCTGAGTCCGGCCCCTGGCCTGCGAGTGTAAATAAAGTTTTATTGGAACACAGACACTCCCATCAGTGGACACACCATCTGGCTGCTTCCAGGCCACCACAGCAGAGCTGGATATTGTGACCGAGACCACAGGGCCCACAAAATAGGCACTGTTTGTTATCCGGCCCTCCTCAGACAAAGTTAAGATGATCTCTGACATAGATGATTTTAGTTAATCCTCACAACAACCACGGGAGGCTGGAGTTAGTGTCACTTCCATTGTATGAAGGAGGAGATGGAGGCCCAGGGAGGTGAGGCCATTCATGGGGCCTTACGACCGGCCCTGGGCGGCGGAATCCCAGGCATGTGATCTGAGCACCTACCCTGTGCCACCTGGAAAGTCACTGAGACAGTTAACTAACCGTGAACCAAATTAACTTCCATCCGTCCGATGCCGTGTTTTGTCTGGGAACAGGGCTAGTTTTCTCTTTTATATGAAAAATACTGAGGCTGCATTTTTCTTGGCTGTCAGCCAGGCCGGGTAGCTTACATGTGATTGTATCATGGTGGGGGGATGGGGAAAGTTAGGAAAGATGCCCACACCTGTCACAGATGATCCCCCAGGATTTATAAAACCCACATCCGGGCAGTGGGGCTGCCTGGGTTTAATTCCACCTCTGCCACCAGGCAGCTGGGTGACCTTGGGTGAGTTGTTTACCCTCTCTGATCCTCTGCTTCTGTGTTTCTGAAGGGAGGATCATGGTGTGAACTTCCTTGTAGGGGTGAGACGGGGACTAAAGGAATTAACGGACATCAGGCAAAGTGAGGGGTGAGAAGTCAACGATGGTGGCGCATGGTCAGCTGTGTCTGCAGCTGTGTGTCCTTGCCGTGGCCTCCAGATCCCCCCTCGGTCTCTCCAGTGGCCTTTCTGCTTCCCCAGCCTCGGCCCTCTGCCCGCAGGCCTCCCGTGGCTTCCCCGGGTCCACTCAGGGGCTCAGGCTCTGCCGCCTGCCTCCCCTCCTGAGTCGGCTGCTGGTCTTCTTGGACCTGCCAAGTCCCTGCCTCTTTCCGCAGCTGCCCTCTGCCTGGGTGTCCCCCCCCTGTGCTGGGCCGAAGCAGCTGCTCATTTAAGAGGTCTTCCCTGTTCTCGGCTCTCTCGGGAGCTCCTGGTCTTCCTTGGATACCACCCTCTTGTGGTTTGAAAGGCAGAAACATCTGAGAACGTGTCTTTTCCTCCCTCAGGACAGGGTTGGCTTATTAGCTAGTTTTTTATGTGGTGCTGGGGACCGGACCCAGTGCCTCACACGTGCTAGGAGAGGGCTCTTCCCCTGAGCCCCCGCCCGGCCCTGGGACAGGGTCTGCAAACTCAAGTGTCTCCCTGGGACGGGCAGGTCCCTTGAGGAAGTAAGTGGGCGGGTGGGGCTGTGGCAACCGAGGCTCATGGGAACAGCGTTAGCCAGGGACCCCCGGGGTCATCACTCGCCAGCCCCAGACCAGCAGCTAACGTTTAAAATGTCGAGTTTTAAAACATCCAACCGAACACACCCAAAGATCACACTCCCCGCTCCCCGGGGTCTTCAGCCTCCGGGTTCCAAGAAGATGGGGCTCCTTCTGCCTGGCTGACCGCCGTCCGCCCACGACCACAGAGGAGTGGAGGAATGAGAGACAGGGCGGAGGGGGGAACCGTGAGGACAAAGGGAACCCGGGCCCCGGTCTCTGCAGGAAGCAAGGCCACGTGGCTGGGAACGCAGCGGAGCCTGTGGACTCCAGGTGGGGAAACCGAGGCCCGAGGGTCAGGGTCCCGCATCTGGAAGGCAGCCCTGCTGTCCCCCTCCTGTGCTCTCTCCACTGGACGCCAGGGTCTGGGTGGACTGCACGGCCACGACTTGGGGGTTCCGCTGCGTCCTCCTCTGTGGCCTCCCTCCCTCGTATTCAACCAGGGGCCCCAGGCGAGGCGACCGACCTCTGGCTGCAGGGGTGGACGTGTGGTCAGTGCGTTCCACCTTCTCTGCCCAGTGTCGGGGTCAGGGCTGGGTACGGGGGGCTCCAGTCGGAGCCTTTCTGGGACTGGGTGGGAAGCGCTGTTTTGGGGAGCTGCAGCCTGGGAGTTGTAGAGCTTTCTCTGCCCCCACGGCAGGAGGCCTGGCCTGAGACGGGCCCACGCTGAAGGACACAGGCCGCGTTGCTCTGATATTGTCACTTGGGCACCTGGATCCAGCCCTGCCTGAACAGGTTGGTCCCTAGGCTGATGGGTGGGTTTTGGTCACTCACTACCTAGGGGCGCTGGGTGACACCTCAATTAGACAGAAGGGAACAGGGTGGACAAAGCCCAGAGGCGGGACAGACCAGCGGGTTCCCGAGTCCCTAGCAGGGAAGTGTTGGCAGCCAGGAGGCGAGGCCACCGTGTGAGCCCCCACACCCGTTCCTCCCTCTTCTGAAACCATCTGGGAAGAGAAGCCTCCCCCAGGCAATCCTCTGGCCTCCTCGTCTCCCTCCCCACCTCTGTGAGCGGTGCCACAGGACCCAGTTTGACCAATGAGGGCCCATATGGGACTGTTGGAAGCCCTCAGGAAGATGAACTCTCCATTGGAAATGCTGAGCTGGAGGGAGGCAGTTCACAGGCACCGTCTTTGTGGCTACGCGGGAGAACTTAGGTGGGAGTGAGACACATCCCTCACCATGTCATCTGAGCCCCTGGATCCAGCCACACCTGATGATATTTGGATCCCCGGATGTACCAGCTTGTGAACCACTAAATCCCCAGTTAATCCCTCAACTGTCTTGGGTTAGGTTTCTGATTCTTGCCATCAAAAGAGCCCTTGCTTGAATCTAGAGAATTTGAACTATGTTTATAGGGTCTTTTTTTTTTTTTTTTTTTTTTTTACCTCTAGTCCAAAATCAGTCCTGGCTGCATTTTCCACTCTGCATTTAACTGGGGCAGAAGGGAAGGACCAAGGGCGTGATGTCAGGACCCCGGTGTTGACAGCAAAGCCAGGGCTGTCAGGTACTCACTGTAGGAAGGGATTCCGTAGGCTTGTGCCGGAGGCGGGTAGGCCGTGTAGGGGACAGCCTGCTGGATCCCCCCGCCGTACTGCGTCTGGCCGTAGGCCGCCATGGCGGTGGGAGGCTGGCTGGGCAGGCCACGGGAGCAAGGCCTATGAGGAGGGAGAGAAGCTGAATCTCCTGGCCCGGCCCAGCAGCCCTTCCCACCACCTTTCCTGGGGTATTAACTCTTCCCAGGGAAGAAGCGAGTTACGTGTCCATCAAATCTCACTTCATTTTCCCCCTCCTGGGAATCAGGAAGACTGATTCCCCTGTTGCCCATGCAGTCAGATCAACTCATGGTGGGTTCCACCCAGCCACATGAGGGCAGTTATACTGTAAGCCACTCCCAGGTGTGGCCAAGGACCCCCCCCCCCCCCCCCGCACTTCCTGCTCTCTCTCCTCTTTTGGTAACAAAGGTGGAGGGCAAATTTGCAAGGGCAAAGTCATGATCTGGGAAAACCTGTGTCCCTGAATTGGCTAGTGGAGGAGGCTGCCCCAGAGTTTCACCGGATCCATGCTGGACCGGATGTGAGTAACCAAAAGCAAACAAGCCAATAAACAAAAACAAAAACGAAAAACAACCAACCAAATCCCCCAAACCTTTGTCATGTGAAACCACTGAGACTTCAGGGTTCGCTGCTTGTTGCAGCAGAACCTATCCTACCCTGACTATCCATCCTAACTGAGATACCTTCCCAGCTTCAACAGAGCTGCCAATCAAGATGTCCTGCTCATAGTCAAGGGGTGGGACAGGGTGAAGGTCAGCCAATCAAACTGCCCTGGGAGTGCAACAGTTACACTCTGAAATGTCTGTCCTTCCATTTCCTATCTCGTGGGTCCCTGAAGTTGTCCTGCACTGGATCTTTCTCCAGGCCCAGCTGCAAGGGCTGGGCTTTCAAGGGCCACTCCCCAAGACCTTTGTGATATTGTGACTGCCACCAACCACCGTGATCTTATGTGGGCTGGGAATCCTGTCACCTAGGCCTGGTGTGTGCTTTTGATCTCATCTAATGCTTCTAGGAACTCTTTGTAAACGGAGCCCTTACAATTCCCATGTTAGAAATGAAGGAATCAAAGCTTGGAGACCTGCAGAAGTGAATGAAGACCTAGAGAGAGATGACCTAGAACTTCAGCCCTGGACGACTCTGACGCGTCACCACCCCATCCCCATTTCACAGATCACAAAACAGGCAGAGGGAGGCCAAAAACACGCCAGAAGCACACAGTGGGTACAGACTGCGACCCTGACTCTAGAACACGCCCCAAACTCTCCGCCATGTGGCCCCCGCCGGCCAGAGCAGGGGACTGGGGGCACGTGTCTATCGTACTCAGTGCCCACGCCCCCATCTGGCTCCACTGAGGTCACCTCCTGTCACCCTAGGTAAAACTTGTCTGGTTCCAGATTTATTGTTTATACAGACGTAAAATCTGATTCTCCCACATATGGAGCCTCCTGGCAGGAAGTAAGATGGACACAAAGTCGGTGCGATGATAGAAGACGTCCCCCTCCCTGCTTTCTTCTTGACTCTCCCCCTGTGATAAAGGTTTTGGGGGAACTTTCTCTGAAACGCACAGGGCACTCATTTGAGCCATGGTTGGCAGAACCAGTCCCAGAGGGCTGTCACCTGTGCGCGTCCTGCCCTGTGGGGCCTGGCGGCCACACCCTGCAGGCCAGGCTTCCTTCCCGTGGAGGTCTTATCGGAGAAGCCTCCGAGGCGCCCCTTAGAAGAGGAGTAGGAGGTGGAATCCAAGACGACGCTCCACTCCCATCCAGGCCGATTTAAACAACTTGAATTAAACTGGGGCTAAAGTTAAAACCCAGAGAAAGGGTGGGGATGTGCTCTAGCGGGGGCCTTGAAAACCTCAGGGGACTTCTACTACCTACGCCTCAAAGGTGACGGGAAAGGCAGGTGACGGAGCCTTCCGTACACTGGTCCTCCATGGGAAGGAAGGAGATCTCTGGATACTGAGGAACGCACCATCTGGCCCCAGGGACACGTGGACACCTGGCCAGCCAACTCAGGGCTCGATGCACAGCCAAGGACTGGGACTGGCAGCTCCGAGGGTGGGCAGCAAGCAGGGGGCCCTGGGCACCTCACTCTGGGGCACTTAAGGCCCTGGGCTGGGAGCTGGTCCCCTGCTCTGTCCCCACTAGACTGAAGCCCTCCGAGGGCAGTGACTGTGTCTCCGTCTCCGAGTCCCAGATTTGGTACTGAGGGGAGTTGGGCGGATGCTAGAGAAGGAAGGGGCGGGGGAGGAAGGAGAGAAAGACAGAAGAGAGGAGGGGGAGGAGGAGAGGTCTGGAGAGAAAGAATGGGGGGATGGGAGGAGTGGGGAAGGAGAAAGAGGTGGGGCGGAGGGAGGCAGGACAAGAAGGAGCCAGGCGAGGACGAGGACGAGGAGGAGAGGAAGAGGAGACACCAGCGGCCCGCCCAGACCAGGGCCCAGGCCCCACTTCCCGGGTGGGCTGCTGGACCGCCCCCTTGTCCCGAGGGGGTGGCCGAGAGCGGCGCTGGGCTTCCTGTCCAGGAGACCTGCTGGAGCAGGAGCCCCCTCCCAACCTCACCCCCAAGGAACAGGGAGAGTGAGCAGGGGACACACTCACCTGGCAAAGAGCTGGGACACGCTCGGAGAGGCCGGTTTGGTGACACCTGAGGGGAAGAGAGACATTGGAGGGCTTAGTGGCTGTGGGATGGGGACATTATGCAGGGCATGTGAGTTCCAGGGCAGCTCAAGTGGGAGGCGTTGAGGCCGGGACTCTCCGCCGGGAAGGCTCATCCGAGGGCGACAGGGTAGCCCTCTCCCTGGTGTGGGGGTTCAGAAGGCTCTCTGGGTGCCCTCGTGTCCCTGTACTCAATGAAGGGTGACAAAGGCCTGTGGCAGCTCGAAGATCAGAGCAGAGTCCATGCCCCTGCACGGGGTACCAAGGCCACGCTGAGGTCAGAGAGAGGCCCGCCCTTGGACGGAGAGGGGACCTGAGCCCAGCAAGCGCTCGTTTCCACTCCTGGAGAGAACCCGCCCTGCCTCAGCTGCAGCCCGAGCCCCAGGGTGGCAGACGCTGGGCTCTGATTATTCCATTTCCCCTCTGCGGGTGACATCATCCAGACGTTCGTCCCTCCCCACTTCTGGTCCTTGGAGTTGGCTGATCACCTCCTGGGCTCCAGCTGGGACCAGCCTGCCTGCCTTCGGGCGCAAGCGTCCTACGCGCATCGGGCAGCCGCGGGAGACCCTGTGCGAGAGGCGGCGCAGGGGAGAACGGAGCTGGGAGAGGAGTCTGCCAGAGGACAATTTGCAAGTGGACAGTTCACCTGGGGGCATTTTTGGGCTACAGCATCTCTAACAACCAGCGCGATGTGCTCTGGGCAGAGTCCGGTGAAGTCCTAGAGGGTGGGTCTAGAGACGGGGCCACCCCTGCCACCACACCTACACCTGCTGGGGTTGCCGGCCTGGGCTCCAGGCAGGGCCCTAAGCCTCGCTCGGCCTCTGAGCTGGAGACCAGCTTGCACTCCCCACTCCACCCTTCTCAGCTCTGAGGCTTTGTGGGGCTGCCTCCGTCTGGGGCCTCCGAGGCCTCCTGTGCAGCGGGGCTGGGAATGCTGCACGCGCATGCGTGAGGAGAGGTGACGGTGAAGGTGATGTCCATCGCGCAAACTGGGTGCTGGTTACGCACGTGCCCCACCCTCCGCATTACCTTACCTGGATTAATAGTTTAATCCTTATAAACTCCCTATAAGAAGGGTGCAGTCGTGCCCAGGGGCAGAGCGGAGGCTCAGAGAGTCTGAGGAGCTCACCCGGGGCCACACAGAGTGTAAGCCGCAGAACTGTGATCTGAAGCCAGGTGGCCTGGCCTGAGGTCCCAACCGCGGACCCTGCGGCTGGACGGCAGCCTCATGGTAGAGCATTCCCCTGGGAGGTGACTAGGAGCCAGCCTGGGTCAGAGGTGTAGGTGCCTGACCCACTTAGTCCTCACAGCAGGGTGACAGGGAGGCAGTGTCCCTGTCCCCTCCGCACAGAGAAGCTGGGGCTTCAGAGGTGAAGGGCCACGGGTGGGGGGGGAGTCCGTGCCTGTCACCACCCCCTCCCAGCTGAGTCAAGTGCTGTTGAGCCCCTAAGCGCTGGGCCAGGGGGCTCCTTAGGTCCATCTAGAGAGACAGGGCTGGAGGGTAAATGGACAGGTCTGGTTTAGTTCACAACAGTCAGCAGCTCGGCCCAGAGTGAACCGGTCCGTCTTCCAACAGAGGTGAGTGTGTGCGCACGCGGAACGAGGGTGTCAAGATGTGTTTATTACAGGTCACAGTGAACACAGCCGAGCAGGCAAGGGCGTGCCCAGTGCCAAGGAGCCCTGGCACCCAGCAAGCACTCCCTCCCCTCGGCTGGCGCCCCAGGCAGGGCCCCCACATCGTCCCTTCCTCCTGGTCCCCAGGACCAGGGCACCAACCGTCTCATTCTAGGTGGAAGCTCCTGACTCGGTATGTTTAGCAATAAATAAGTTACTGAATTAAACATCTTGAATGTTTTCCTTAATAAACATGTAAATATTCACAAAAATCCAGATCTGTGGCAGCGGCATTCCTATGGGCGCAGGCGAACTCGGCTTCGCTTCCAGGAACGGGAAGCAAGCTTGCTCTCCCCAGGGGATCTGTCCCCGCTGCTCTGAACCATGTCCCCCCAGCCTCCCTCCGCCCCCTCCCTCCACCCCTCTGCACCTGCCACGGCTCCCCTTCCCCCCAGCAAGGGAGAAACTGGCCCAGTGAGTGCAGGGCTTTCCTTTTGCAGACTGCGCCAGTGTTTAAAGAAGACTCCGGTGTTCTCTGCGGTGACCTGTTGAGCCTCTCCATCCCAGGACACCTAGGGGACAGGGGAGCTGGAGGGCAGAGCGCTGTCTGGAAGGGCCCCCTCTCCCTCTGGCTGGGGTGTGGACTCCCCTGAGGGTCCCCACAGCTGTCTAAGCGCCTTCCCGACAGTGGAGACCCCAGGCTCAGTGGGAGCAGCAGGTGAGGGCGAGCTGTGTCGGTGCCCCTGGACGGGCCACGGCGGACTCACACTGCAACAGGGAGGTCAACAGGGCGT